GAGTCATTTCGGAGGCTGCGGCTGTGGACGTGCCCACGGCTGTCCCTTGGATCACCAGCAAGATGCTGGCTGAGTCCACGGCGGAGACGAGGTACAGCTTGATGGAGGTGGGGATCTGCAATGGAACGGGTTACCATGGCTTGAGTCTCCCCCAGCTTTTCTTCCCGTCAGGGAGCTGGAAGGGGGTCACCCCCATCCCACCCTGCTGCAGCCTTTGCTGTGCCCAGGCCACCCTGTGCCTGCAGCAGCCCAAGCCCAAGGACCTCGGCTTAGCTGAGGACACCCAAGCTGCACCCCGAGACCTCTTCCTGGTCCTCCCTCTGCCCGAAGCTGCTGGAGAAGGTGAGCGAGCTCTAGGCAGGGGGGAGAGGGGAGGGAGAGGAGCCTGCAGAGCTGTCCAGGGCTGACCCAAGCATCCCCCCATCCTCACTGGGGCACTAGCTACAAGGGTGAGCAAACCCATGCCAAGAAAAGCCCAGTCAACACTGAGATGTCCCACCAAGAGCACAGCCAAGACGGGAGAAAGCTGATGTCCCCAGAGCGGAACTGTCACTGCTCACCTCTATCCTCATGATGGCAAAGTCTGGCACAGGTGGGTCGTAGAGGTAGACGCTGGGGTCAAGCTGGCTCTGCGCAGCCGGGAAGATCTTGGAGCTGCTGGGCGCCGGCGTGTAGTTGAGCATCTCGCACAGGGTGAGGACGTCGATGAATTTGGGGGTGAGCCCGGCGCGCACCGTGTTATCCGAGCACGCCATACACTCCACGCAGTCTGAGGGGATGCAGCAGCACTGTCAGCCCACCCCAGCCCTCCCACATGTCCCCAGGGGTTCCAACCTTGTGCAGGAGACCATGGCCACCCTGGGGGACAGTCTTTGTGGGGTCCTGGGTTAGGAAAGCCCACCGCAATGCTCACCTCCGTGCAGGTAGGCGTGGGGCTCATTGGCTCCCAGGAACATGGCCTCCCCCGGCTCCAGCCTCACCAGGTTGAGGAAATAAATGGTGAAGCAGCCGATGTCCCCTGGGTACTGGGAGTGCAACCGCAGCAGCAGGTCCCCGTTGCTCCCCGATGTGTCCTTCCCTTCCGCCGCTGCGTGGGCAGAGACCAGGCGCGACACTGGGGAGGGAGCTGGGGGGTGCCCTGTCCCCTCCCCTAAATGCAGACCCCCCCAAACCATTCTTGGGGGCTGTGGTGGGCAGAGAGGACCCACCTTCCTGGGAGATCCTCTTCACCAGCATGTTCAGCTGGTCGACGAAGAACTTCTTCTCGCTCTTCATCAGGCGGGTGAAGCAGACGCGGAGGGCGGCCGAGACGCCGCGGGGGTCATCGCTCCCGCTGCGCTCCAGCTGGTCCG